TAAATGTTTTATAACACACGGCGTGGGTTTGAAACGATCAATGGCACGTGGCCATTCGACGTACTGTAGTCGAGTGCGATTTTCGCGAACGCACGGTGACTAATCCACTTCCCGGGCTTTGAAGTCGAACTTCGGTAACATTTTATTATTATTATTATTATTATTATTATTGCGTACGCGTTCCTCGAAAACGACGCGTTATTGTAATATTTAATTTTCCAACGAGTTAGAGTTCTACGTATTGAAAATACGCATTACAATTGAATATACTCTTACAATATTTTCTTTCGACCTTTATGAGAGGTAACACTTTGTCTAATCATATTTTAGTGTCAGGTTTAAAAATGCTGTTTAAGCTATTTAATTTATCACAACATTCTTAAGCAATTATTTACAATTTTGTTGATTACAAAACTAATAATTGTTATCAAAATTACAAATATTTTTACTACCAAGCCATTAACATAATTCGATAAATGTTATAACTAACAATAAATATAATAAACAATTAAACCTTTGAGAAATAATTGATTTATATACTTTAAAATAAAGTAACTATATATTTGTGATTTATTGTTACGCACTTGCATTACAAATGTTAAAGCGTTAATTTTTGTAAATTTTTAATCATAATATATTTTTTTCGTATAGTTTAGTTTTTAATATTTTTCTTCTATGGGTGTTTTTTTTTTTTTTTTTAATGAATTAATTTTCAAATCAATATCGACTTGAATTTCTATTAATACTCGAATAACTTAAATTTTTTTTGCAACTACCCGAACCAACTTCGTCCTAACCTGTTGGGAAACTACGATTGAAAACAAGCGTTATGCTTTTAGAGTGTTAGATTTATTTTTAGACATCCAAAATTGTACCTAAAAGCTGGTTTTCATCGTTTACAATGTTGTGCGCAAACGAGTTGCAGTAAATTTAAAAAAAAAAAATATAATAATATGTGCGCAAGCGAGTCCCCCCCCCCCCCCCCCCGTTCACGGGGCGACCAGGTCCACGCGTCCTTGCCGTACCCGCCAGTCCGTCGCGCCCGCGGTCTAGTAAAAACTCATTATTGTTATTATTGCACCCGCGAAACCGTTCACGGCACTTCCGCGTTGTCATCTTCGAGCAACAGGTTTCCCGCTGTGGATCGCGGCGCGCCGACTACGCGTTCGAACTCGACTCGCATTTTACTCAATGCCCGTGAGCCTGTTGCGCGTGAATCGCCGAAACGATAAACCATGTTCGAGTGCGTTGGACGACGATGACAGAACAAGTGTTTGTGACCCCACGCTGTGGTCTAGGTTCGGTACATCGTCGTAAGTACAAATAAGTTTCGTAGCGCTTGTTCGCGCGAGTCCCGCGGGGTCCGGTGGTGATCGTCGTCGACCATGCGGATTCATTCATATCATCGACTAATCAATAACTGCACGTACCCACCCAACGGCACGGCTAGAACCCAAATATTGGTGATGCTGAAATTGCTGAAAATAAAATCAAATGGTATTTAACTGCAACGACTATAGGTATTGTATTGATCTGAAGAAAAAAAAAAAACAAAAAACAAAACAGGAGTGCTACATTTGAATTCAGGGACGCTTAAAACCCTGTTGCGCCCGTTTACGTACCTCAGATAAACGCATATGCGCGTCACGCGACGCGTTAGTTCTTGACGTTGTCCGCAAAGCGTTAGACTGTCGGCAAATCCCACGAGCTCGGTCAAAGTTTCCGTACCGGCGCCTTTGTCAATCGCCATCGCATGCGCATAATGCATGCGTAAATATGGTCTTTGCCGTTGTTCAATAATACCGTGAACTCGTTGGCCTCAAGTATGACCACCGGGTTCAGAGCCATAACAATCACTCGCATCAAATACTTTTGACGCCCGTCTGCCGTTGGCCTATGCAAATATTCACGTACACCATAACATTATTGTTTACGACGTATACGTAACCGTAAAAATATTTCTGAAAACCGTAAAACAGCGTGTGGCAAGTTTTGTTTTCGCGCGACGATCAATATGCGCGTTTCTCGTGCCTAGGGCTAGCATTTGCATTTTCTTTCATAGTGTTCCAGTAAATAGCTAATCAAAAACAAAATTCAATTAATTCATCGCAGAGTTCAAATATACAATTTTGTTTTTGCATATTCTTATGATGTTCGTAAATAAATGCATGTTCGGTGGTGTGTCAGTTTATTGGCTTTTTATATATTTTTTTTTTTTGTTAATTATACGTAACCTCGATATTTTCAGAACGTTTACGTACATACACAGGCGTGTCTGAAAATTTCGTGCAGGCATGGCCAGTAACATTTTTCATTAAGAAAATTGAAATTTTCATTTACGATACGAAGACAAAGAGTGACTTATATACACTACCTCGAGAACGTACGTAGTAATTTTGGCTACTACAGTAACTATACCTAGTAAATAATATACTCGCTCATAAAATACAACTAGAACTACACGGATACCTACAGATAATAAATATTATTGGTTAGTTTTTGTCACAGATATATTATACATATATAATATTTTATGTGGAAATATTTATTATTTAATTCTGTTTTATTTAATCATTCTTTTTACTTGTTAGTAATTGTTTTTAATGATTTAAGCATAAATTTAAAACGGAGTTGGATTTTGCAGGTCTGGCCATAGCTGTAAACACGCCTGTGCGTACATATTTATCTAAATTATTAATTTATTTTAATTTGATTACTATTTATATATATATTTCGTGATTTCGTAGTATTGTGTAGTGAAATTTATCACCTTATCGGAAATGTATATTAATATTTCTGAATATAGATTCTTAGATTTTGTTAAAGTTAGTTGAAGTGATTACGTTGTGATTACGTAATACGTTGACTGTCTGGACTTCGAACGCAATGAGAACGATATTTATTCACTTGTTTACTATGTATAAATTTACAATTATATTACTTAGCATTCACTAACTATAGGAATTTCTATGGGGGTTTGAATATTATATTCGAGTACTAGCCTACAGAACATTGTCGCGTAGCCACGATACCCAGCAGTCGTTAATACGTTACGCCGGCAAGTCGTTATTTAACAATTTTTCCTGTAATCGCGTGTGGTTTTATAGTTTGTTTAAAGCTTAAATTGCTTAAACCTAAAATATCGTTGGCATTTAGTTTACGTGCATACATGCGTGAATTTGGCGACAACATTTTTACCACTGACGGGACAGTACTGTACTGCAAAGTCTGTGATATTAAAGTTTCAGCTGAAAAAAAAATTACTGTTTCTCAACGTGTTGCACGTGATAGACACATAATGGGTTCGGAAAAAAAAAATATCTACTACTCTATTAACCGGCCCATCGACAGCATCAACATTCAACTACGACCTTTTCAAGGCTCTATTATGTTCAAATAAACCACTTTATAAGTTATATCAACCGTCATTTCGAATGTTTCTTGAGTAGTATACAAATAAAATCATACTCGACCAATCAACATTGCATAAAAAATATGTTACAGAATGCTATGAAGAAACAATAATAATTGAGCATATACTGAAAATATATATAGATATCTGAAAATAAAATATGGGCATCAATTGACGAGATGACAGACGCAACTGGTCGAGACGTGGTGAATGTAATAATAGGCACCTTAGAAATTGATAGCTCAGGTAAAATATTTCTTATAAATTCGGAAGTTTTAGATAAAGCTAACTACGCTACAATAAGTCGATTATTTGATGATTCGCTTTTAATTTTATGGCCGGAAGGCATTAGGCATGAAAATATTTTGTTATTTTTATCGGATGCAGTGCCGTATATGGTAAAAGCTTTGTCCCGAGTCAATTAAGATTGTATTGGATGTGCAAAATACAATTGATAAAGCGCAAAACGAAATTGGTAAGGTGGTAAAATTAAGATGAGGACAGTTTTCGAAAAAATACTGTATTTAAGTCAATATGTAAAGTCTTAAAAATTTTGAACGGTGAAGAAATGTCAAAATTAGAATTGTCAGAAAATTTAAATCTCGATGATATGGCATATTTTAAATTTTTTCCAATACTATCAGTGGACGTTGAGAGATCATTTCTATCATACGAAACATTGCTAACTGATAATTGCAGATCATTTATAATTGAAAATTTGAGAGAGTTCCTGATAGTCCAATTTAACAACAGAGATGCAATTGAATGGTATGTATCTATTCAAATTAAATAATATTTCAAAAAAATTAAGTTTTTGTGATTAAAATAATTTTTGTTTTAGAATGATGGTGTTGAATACAGAATTTTTTTCAAAATATTTAATAATATCCAAGAAAATTTGAAATTATATATATATATCTTATTGTTATACGTTATTGTTATATTCTTATAATTATATGTTTTTCAGCTAAACTTTTACATTTCTAAGTTTTCTAAGTAAAGTAATTTTTAGTTGCATTTTCCTGGTTAAAATGCATTTTTTTGTAATTTTATTGATGGTTTTTTAATGCCTTTGTTGTAGGTTTTTAGTGTATCATTTTCCTAGCCCTACTTATAACATATGTCCGCGCGCTTCGCAACGGACTGGGAAATGACTCGGCAACAGCGCGCAGTACATTGGGCCGATATTGTTATAATTTTAACTCCAAGTGACCGCAATAAAAAAAAATAAAAAAACAACACACGATTATTATTAATTTTATTAGAAAAGACGAATAAAAAAGAAGAAGAAGACGGAAAAACGCAGTAAAAATATGTGATTTTTAAAACTAATCCGCGCTAAATAAACGAGTTCGAATCGACGCCGTGAGTATTTTTAAATTTACTATTTGCGTTTGTATCACGAGGTCGCGCGATTAACGACCTCGTGTTTTGTGCGCGACACCAACGATGATATGCACACCACGGATGTTAAAAAAACACTAGATGTCTTACCGCCGTAGTTATTTGAAACCGTAGCACGTGGTAAACAATGTTTACTGTACATGTTCACACGATAAGCGGAACTTTAAATGGCATATCCTATGATAGAACATTCATGGGCGTATTTTAGGGGAGGGGGCGAAACGGCGATCGCCCTCTCCTCCAAGAATCCGTGTTTATGGAATTGACTATATGTGAGATACACACTTCAAATTTTTTTAATGTAGATCATTTTATGACGAAATCAAATTACGCGTGGCTGTCAATACTGAACTGGGCTTTTTGTCGGGTTTATACTTAGTGAAAAATCAAATTAAACTCAAGCGTAACTTTTAAAACACAGACAGGTGTTGAAAAAGAACTACACTAAAGTCGATTATAAGTGGACCCGGTATTAGATTAAAAAATAAAACCACAAATATTAAGGATTCATCTGATTTAAATATCCCTAAAAATTTTACTTGAAAATTTTGAACATGAATTAAAGAAAAAATTTGAGTCGCCCCTCCTAGAAGTAAGTCTAAATACGCCCCTGAGACATTAAACACCAATTATGTGGGTATATTCAATCAAACGTATCCGTGCGCAGAAGATGTGTTAACAGAAAATTCATAATTTAAACTGTTTAATGTTTAGTGGACGGTAGCACGATTTTTGCTGTTAACAAATAATTTCTACTCTATTACTTACTATTTTTTAAATATCGGCAAGTACCTCAGTCTCAGGAGGCCGAGCTCGGTACCTATTATTCCATTACACGACAGCACAACGGTTACGTTCGCCAATAGCAGAGATGGCAAACCTTTGGCTCGCGAAACAATTGAAACCATTAAAGATTTTACACAAAAAAAAAAAAATATATAGTTACGCTATTTATAAAACTTTAGTTATAAGAAATTCGAAGAAACAAATTATACGCGTTTTATAAATTATAACATCGTTATACTTTCAATTTTCCCGCCAACTTATACTTGTGAAAGTTTATTCTCCATAACGAGTTCAATTGAATCGAAGAAAATAAATTATTTGACAAATGAAACGATTGTTATTTGTGTTCCACTAAAAATGACTAAAAGTTAATAAAAACTGTATGAAATCTGTAAATTTATTTTTATTCTAAGAAAATATAGTTTTCTTTGGGCACGTGAAAAATGTTGACAGCTTTGATTGGAAAAATCTTGCACTTGACCCAAAAAATGTTCGCCCGCCCCTGGTACATTGTGTTTTGTGCATCTCCGATAAACACTTAGGTCCGAGAACGTGTTCGACGATTGCGGTATCGGCGCCAGATTTCGACTTCTTTAATGCTTCAGTGGAGAAAACGGGATCGACGTAGAATCGTCTAAAGTGTTTATTAGCCTTTGCGATCCATTCTAGGATATTTGAGCGCTCGGCGATTACTGGAAGCCTTCGGGCAAAAAAGAGAAAATCACGAAAAATATCATAATTATAAAATGTACATGTACGTATGTGTATAGAATTCTTGCGATGAAAATATCGGATAACGGTTGTCCGTGCATTTTGTTCGAATTCTTTGACATTTTTTTTTTTTTTTTGTTACCATCAACATGCAGTTATTTAAGAAAAAATTAGGTTGGGGAAGGGGAGGCGCCATTGAAAACCACTGCGGCCGGGGCTCAAACGGCAATGATCCTCCGAGTAGTGCTGGTCGCGGACGCGACGATGACGACTGCTGGAGGCATTGCTGCTGGACGAGTTGGACCGTCGCGCGTCCACAATAAGTTTAAACAATATTTTCGGGATCGTTTGTCCGACAGATGACGTGTAGACGAAAACAGTGGGTATCGCGTGTTTCTCGACCGAGAAATTTTCTCATATAATTCGTACGAATCCACTCGGCCGGCTGCGGTTTCTCGAAGACCGTTTCCACGAGAACTTCGTTTCCAACTCGGTTTAAAAGTAATACGGAACTCGAAGACGTTTGTAAAAACGTGTACGCCGATATTTTCCCGCGATCCGATGCCGTCGGAACACTCGAAACGATGTAGGCCGTACGCGTACCGCATACGTTTTTCGAACGGGCGGCGGAGTAGGGCAATATCTGCCGTCTCGGTTCCGTGGTACACGTGCCGCCCGATGTGGGTCACACGTCCACGATTCGTTTCCATTAATCTCGTCCGCGGGACTCGGAACGCTTCGCTGCGCATCCGCAACGGGTCCCG